ACTAACATGAATGGATACATGGTTAGATTAATGGAATGGTAATTAGAAAGATGGATGGATGGACAGACAAAAAAAATGATTGGAAGGATGGAGAAATGGAAGAATGACAGAGATAAATGGATGGATGGATAAAAAAGTGGACTGATGAATAGACTTAATATAACTTCTAGATAATAAGAATAGAAAATATGATCTTGAAATCTTATTTCTTCCACACATGATTTCTATTTCCATGCTTATCAAAATCTGAACAAAATAAAAAGTAAATACTTTTCCACATAACAGGAAGGAACCCCGTTTTACTATTATGTTCTGTTTATTATTTCCAATTTAATTTTGTCACAATAGGAACCTCGTTTACCTTTATTTTTTACTCTCTATGTGGGCATAAAAATCACACTTACAGGTCTCCATTTCCTAAGTTGTTAATAATGTATAAATTGTAAAGCATTCCATACAAACTGTTTCCATATCTTAGAGAAGATATGTTCAAAATGTCACCTATAATCAATGATGCTTTCCTCAAAATATTTAACTCTAAATTAGTTTTTTCCCCTATTTATCTTTTATTGCTTTGTTTAGTTGTTTTCCGTTTCTAAAGGAAAATTTGATGTACTCTAATCGCACATGTGATTTCCTATTTTTACTGCAATCTACGTTTTCAAACAGAGCTGATAGAATTTCACATGAGTTATCTGTGTAAGTAATAATAATAATAAAGATATGTTTACTTACTGCTTTTATGCTTGAATGATTTGGATCTTCTTGGTGAATTTGGATTCTGAGGATCAACAAAAAAAAGAAGAAAAAATAGAGCTACCATTTGGTTTGGGTTAAGAAGTCAGGACAAAAATTCTGAACACTTTCATGAATAAAACAGGTGATAAACAATATATATATTTAAGGGTAAAATAAAAGCACCTTATCCGACTTTCTTTTCTTTGCTGTAAAATAAAAAAACAGATGAGGAAAAACAGAAAATCTGCAGTGAATCAGTTTTTGAGGAACATGAAGAAAGTCCAAAGCTTCACCTTTCTTTTCTGCCCCGTAGGACCAGTCGTTATCGTTGACGTCGTCGTTATCTTCTTGGTCACTCTCCGACTTGTTGTTGGTGTTGTTGCCAGTAACTATTCTGTAAAACGGCGAAAGACGGCAGCATTACTTATGAGAAATAACCCAAAACAGATTCCAGGAAGAAACCATGAAGCCAATTCTGATTGTGGGAACCAATCAGATTCACAGATGGAATCGGAGATAAACACAACGTGAACATCTGAGAGGATGCTGGTCTGCACTTTGAACCTGCGGTTAGCTATGCGGCTGCTGTTGCGTCCCATCCCGAGGCATTTCTCCAGGTGTGGCGCGAAGCGAGACGCCGCAATGCTCCGGTTGCAGTTGGGACAAACGCACTCTTTGTTTTTCCATTGGTTGTACACTTGGCCGAACACGTCCAGTCCAGGCTGGTCCACAATTTCTGAAAGGGATTCGAATCGAGAACCGTGAATAAAACTGTCATCAAATCTCAAACTAAATACTTTAGGGAAAATTCTGCATTTAATCGGAGAACATTTAGTCAGTGAGGAAAAGAAAAATAATGTAGATTTTCAAAATTAATCACAGTTTTCACAATTTTTGCCAACAATAAATCTAAAACTCTTGTGAGTTTTAAGCAATTAATTCCTAACATGGATCTTAACTCAGCCATGATTGTTCCTGTAGTTTTAAACAGTTTCATTCATTCATTCATTCATCTGACTTCAGATAATAGTAAATTATAAAGATTGAGACACATCAGTATTACGAGGGACATGTTTTCTTGCCATTCCTATTATAAACAACTGATAAGAGAAATATCCATTTTTTTACCCCAGATAAACAGAAAAGTATGGGTGGCAAAATAAATGTTTCTAGATGCATTTTTAGTGAACAATTGTTCTTTGATGCAGCATTTCTTTACATTGAATACATTTTAAATAAAACTTGGATTTTATTTATCAGCATGAGATTATATTGGAGAACTGATTCATTTATTGTAGGGTTTTTAGACACCGGTAACAGAATCAACACAAGTTTGTGTGCATCTGTGTATTAGTTATTATCTGCATGTACGTTTGTTTGAAAAACTCAGATTTTTGTGTTTGGCTTTTATTCAGTGATGCAATATAATCTTTTTGCAAGGTAGGACAGATTGTGCTCACCAAAGTCCCTCATGCTTTCTTGGTCCGTGTCATCCAGGAAGAAGTAGCCCTGCTTCACAGCCCGGTGGACCTCAAAGCAAAGACCCAGACATGCGTCCTCCACCAGGTCAGACAGGATGTCCTGAGCCATTGCCTGCCAGGGACGACATGCGGTACATTTCTGTGGCTTATCTGAGGTGATAAAGTCTTAAACCCCTTCAAAATAAATTCTGTTTTTGCTTTTTTTTTTTTTTTTTTTAAAGCCCACTTGCAAGTTTGAGATTTAACCAAGTCAGACAAAAAATTACCTAACTGTAAAAAAATAAATAAATTCTGATTTCACTAATTAAGCGTTAAACCTTTTTTAAACCAACCCTACGTAAACATTTGTTTCCATCCAGTGTCACATAAATTTTTCTGAATATGGTTAAGGTTTGAACCCTGGTGGAAATGAAGTCTCATGCTCAAGGAAACGGCTCATCCTGGAATATCCCTGTTCATCAGGGAAGAAACCAGCTCATAGTATATTCAGCTGACGTGACCAGTTGCAGCAACCCCAGATCATAGTGCTTCCTCCACAGGCTGCGCCAGAAGCGCCTGTCACTCAGGAAGAGGGTAAATCTGGACCCATCAGAGCACATGACCTTCTTCCATCACTCTAGAGTTCAATCTTTTTGCTCCTTTGAAGGTTGAAGCATTTTTCTCCAGCTACCTTCACTGACTGAACAACTTTTCAGTCCTAATTCTTCACGTTGAAGACATAGTTCTAGTTCTAGTTTAGTTTTTCTTCGATTTGATCTCACCAAACTTTCCGGGGATCACTAAGGATTTTTTTTTTCTGACCACATTTCTTCTTCAAAGATGATGATGACGATTCCCCTCTTTCGCTACAGTTTTTAACAACAAGTTGGACAGTTCTCAATCCACTTTTAAGAGTTTCCTTACAGGTTTTCTCTGCTTGATGCCAGGAATTTTACTATTCTTAATCAACCACAGGATGCCTTTTCAAGATCCAAAGGAGACTTGCACTCCTTTGCTTTTTGGGGGGGTATCAGGCAGTGTATAGTATCATAGTTTGGGTGGGTATTTCTTTTTAAATCATGAATGAAATCATCATTTGAAAATGTTACTTTTTGCATTTACACAGGTCTGGTCTGATATTAAAATGTCTTTGATGACACCTGTTCACAACAATGCGTGTCTGCTTGTTGCTGCTTTCCACCACCACCATCATCATCATCATCATCACCACCGTACCTCCAGCTTGCTGTTGTCCAGGCTGGACACCGAAAGCTCCTCCATTTTCATTTGCCAGATCTACCAGATGAGCAGACGTTGTTGTGTTCATGCTGTAGCGCAGCAAGCATCGGCCAGAGCTGGGCTGCTGCAGGAGGGAAGCACAGTTAGCAGCACAGATGCCAGTCGGTCACTGAGAAAGGGATGCAGGGACTCACAACGGAGCAGAGGGCTGCTTCCCGCACTCACAGCCTGAGAACAAGCACACAGACACAAAACACGAAAAGGAAAGTCAGCGGAGTCCAAAACACGGCGCGAGTCCTCGACACTTCCCTGCAGCCCCGAGCTTTGCCATTCAATGAAAGGAGCTTAGCTTGAAGCTGGAGGAAAACAAAGAGCGCGGCTATGAATAGGCTGGAGGTAGTGAAAATACCAGGAGGTAACAGGAGAGGCGGCGTCCTGCGCCAACAGCTAATATGGCTACAACACAGAAGATGTACACGAGCGGTTGCAATTATAACAGCGATAAAAATATAGATATTTTTAATTGTTTCGCAGTTGGAGGAACATCCAACAGTAGCTAGGCTGCTCGTCCCTGAAGCAAGCACTGCTGCTGCTGCAGTGCGGCTGTGCGCCTCCCCGCTCCCTGGAAGAACCTCCGGCAGCCAAAATTCCGGTTCTCAACCCCCAAATACAGCCTTCCCGGCGGGGAATATCGCAACCGCGGTCCCAGCAAAACCTTAATTGAGTTTATTTACCTATTTCGACAGGCATCCATCTTTACTAAGCGATCAGGCAGAAACAATCACTCTCTGCACGAGTTCCATCGATGGCCGCCTCCTGTGCCGCAGATTAAACCGGCTGCTTTCACTTTGTTCGCCAATTCTGCTTATTTGAAACACCACCAGAAATAAAAAGCGATGCAATTAACACAATTCTTACTTTTCTTACATTTACAAGATGAACTATTAAGTTTAATGAAAAACCTAACTAAAATCATGCGTACTTTAATATGCACCCGTCTCAGGCAGAAGCAATCGATCTCCTCAGGAGTCACAGCTGCGCCTGAGCTGCACTGACTCCCAGCGCATCCACCTTTTAACAATTTAACGACCATTGATTAATTTAATGCATTTTAATTACGTCAGTTTCTTTTTAGAGAAATATAATAGCTCAACCATCTTCTGTCATGGAGATCGTTTTTAGTATTAGAAAAACCATTTTGTAAAATTTCACTGAATAAATTAAAAGGTATTTATGTATATTTATTTACAACCTGTAGAAAATATTTTTTAGGTGTGTTACTACAACAAATGGAGGCAAATTATGTTAAAAATGGACTGCCACAGCCTGCAGCGTTAGATCTTTTTTATACCAATAAAAGCATAGTTGGTTTGTTTGCTTCAAACTATGCATCTCGGTGTATATTTTTCAGTTGTACTCAACTCTTTGACCCATGTACTGCAATTTATTTATGAAACGTAGCAATAAAGTGATTTAAAGAAATAAAAACTTGACGAACCGACTGAACTTTAAGTGAACTACATTTACAATCCATTCAGCTCAAGTAAAATTAAATACAAAATATCTGAAGTCACACTTATTGTAATTACAGGCAGCAAATTTTGAAAGTCGCATCTAAATTCCAAAACACAAATATGAGTTGTATTATTGTATAATCTGCAAGATAATGTACCTCTATTTTTTTTACTCTTAACAGTTCTGTTTTTTTTTTTTTTTTTTAAGAAAACTTCCACACCTCTTAAACAAGAACACTTAATTGGTCTTTAAAATATATAATTTGTCACCAAAATTACTTATATCTGTTCTATATTTTTCATTTAAAAAACCTACAAATCCCAAATTCATGTTTTAGTTTTTCTTTAATTATTATATCATCCCTGACATGACATATACAAAGTGATAAAATTAACCTAAATTACATTCCCAATTCCCCTCTATGAATATGAATTTAAAACAGTTTACATCATTTTAACCAAGAGGCGAATGAACTAAAATAAGCACTTGAAAAATGTAAAATTATCGCGGCGTGAACGAGGAAATGACCCTTTCTGTCCTACTGTAATTTTTCTTCTTACTCCCAGGAACTCACTACATCAAGAATATTTTCATATTGTAGCTATAATAACGACAAGTAAACATTATTGAGAATATCTCTGCCACACAATGATGTAACTTTACAGGCAGCATTTTTTCAGCTCAGTTGATAAAGTGTTCATAAAAGTTTCCCTATAGCAGTGTATGAAGGTTCTGATTCTGTCAATCAGCGATGCATCTCAAACATGTCCCAGTCCTCTCCACTCTCATCCTGTGGACCAGAAGATGATAGAATTGAATCAATTCATCTTGTGACTCATTTAGAAAAAAATCCAACAATTATTCAGAGTACATTCATTGTTTTCAACAGGAAGAACCATCAACATCACCTCATAACTGATCCAAATATCATCTTCACTGCTGTTGTCCGTGATGTCTTCGTCCTCCGAGTCCTGAGAACCAAAAACAAACAGGAAGCAAAATTACAGCTCAGCGTGAGAAACCTCTTCCTTATCTCACAAGTCAAAAATCTGTCAGACAAAAGATCATTGGGTAGTGATCATGCATCATGGATGTGAATCAATAAGTCCAAAGTCTCCCTGGCTTTGTAACCAGACAAAGATTTAAAGAGGAGCAGCAAAAGCAAATGAGAAGGATTAGCAGAGCGCGTAAAGAACAGATGGTGTCATCCAGGAAATTTTAGAGTGGAAGATCGTCTCTGCTGGCCGAACCTGGAGCAATTAGCATTATAATGACAGTCATAAAGCAGAGGCTTCTTCAGATTTGTTGCAACACTGACTGCTGTCCTTCTTGCCCACGACTTCTCCATTTGCAAAAACTTTTTGAATACAATTGAATGACATGCATTATGACACTTAATTTCCATTTTAGATATAAAAAAACAACATTGTTTAACTGGATTGAATGTGTGTGTTTTATTCATATAACTTACTGAAGGTTGACTCGGATGTAGCTCTTCTCTGTTGTGCACCTGTTTTTGTTTGGGATCGAGGAACTGCAATTTCTGCAATGCAAGTTGGAACATGATTTCCAGAAAACCAACTTTGAAAACATTGGCGAATTTCAAAGTACTCACACTGGGATTTTGTTTCAAATACTCCGTTTGTTCTTCTGTGGTCAGATTCTGCACAGAGAATGGAAAATGGATACATTTATCTCCCAGAACATTTGGGAAAAACCCAAAGCAAAGATGGACATTTGTAAACACCTTGAACCACTTTTGCAGGTTTTCTGAGTATTGTTTCATGTTTGAATGCATCTGTTCTTTGTAACGTTCCTTCTCCTTTGCAGGAAGCTTGTCCCAAAGTTTCATAGATTTGGCTGAAGACATCTTCTGATCTTTGGCAAAGTATGTCAATACAGTTCTGAAAAACAGAAAAACAGTGCTGAATTAGTCAAACTGAATCTTGTCAGGGAACATTTCGAAGGTTTTGGTCACACACTCACTGGCTGGGCATCTTGGGCTCACGGGGTGACGTCCTCTGCACAGAGTAAAATGTGTTTATGCGAAGTGAAGATCCAATACGATAGCAGCAAGTACAGAAGTATTCACACCTCTTCAACGTCTATTGGGATTTATTTTTGTCGTTTCAAAAAGTAATACTCGTATCACATAAATCCATTACATGTGGAGTGAAATATTTCAAACTATTTCTTGTATTTTTTTTTCTGTGATTATTTAAACCTTATTTCTTAGGATTGCCTGTTTGTAACACGAGTAACTGTGAAACTTAAAACATTAAAAATATCCATAAGCCAAGTGTTTGAGTGTATTAACAAGGAAACTAAGATTTCGTCTTACCAAAGGCTTTGCCTTCACAAATCCGATATCTTGTTCTTTAATGGTTTGTTGCTGAGGAACAAACAAACAAACAAACAAACTGTCACACGTCTCTTCCTGTTAAATCTAGAAAAGTCTCAACTTACATCCAAAGATTCCTTTAGCTTGGCATTATACTCATGCTTCATCTAAAAATGACAAAAAAAATACTTTTAGGGTATTTTTAAATCAAAACAACTACGTTCTTTTTTTTGTCCTATGTTGGTACCTTTAGACAGCGTGAGCAATACTCATCCTTCTCTGGTTCATTCAGTTCTCTCCAGCGTTTCCTCATATCATTGTGCAAGTCCGAACCTAATGAAGGTCTGTTTTCTGCAGCACTCTCCTTCATGAACAGAAACAGACCATTTCTGAAAACATGCAAAGGGACAGAAAATTAGACAAACGGCAACAAACGTCTGTAAATAATGAGATTAAAGTTCTAACCTAACAGCACAAAGTTTGGGGCCGTTTTCAATGGGACCGAGTGAAGGTTTGTAAATATCAGAAGACAATTATCAAACCTTCTGATTTTAAGCAGAATAATAATAGTAGAAATGCTCCCAGCAACTTCCTCAGATGTCTACTGCAAGCTTTATGAATGTTAGTGTTGAGAACATTAGACAAGTAAAAAATCTGCAGTCAGAGGAATCTCAATTTGGTGAATCAAGGAGAGATTTTCAGTGTAGAGTCATGCAAACAGGAGTTATTTCTGCAAGTCTCATTAAACTGAATTCGAGACTTTTAAAGGCCGTTTCAGACAGGTTTTGGACCCACCCTTTATGAAAAGTAATAAGTTACTTAAATTATATTCACCTTAATAGCTTAAGTTAAAACTGTAAACACATGAACAAAATAAACCAGTTTACAAGTTTTGCTTTTTCCTAGCTAAAGTAAAAAAATGTGACAAAAATAATCTCTTACCGAGGTGGCTTCGTAGGCAGGTCTGCATCAACCTGACAGAGAAAATTAACAGATTTATACAAGAGAGGTCAAACATCTACAGTGGAAACGTTTCTCACCCAGCAAATCGTGCGAACAGCATGCCGAGACAAGGCAGAATAGAAGACTTACAACTGCAGAGAGTCTTGCCCTTTTAGATTCTCGAGGACAGGGTAGATTGTTGTCTTTACTGAAAAAGAGCACACACACAAAAAAGTTTACAATATAAATTTAGATCAACCGCTTTGTTAAGTCAAGCCTGCATAGAGGGAGTTTTGTACCAAAGGTTGTCTGACTTTCTCTTGCGCTCCACACGTCCACGGGCGTGCTTCTTTTTATATCCGTCCTACAATAAAAAGTCAAATCTGTTAACTTTCAAGTCACTCTTATCAATGAGTATTTATTTATATATCCACTTCTCATAGACTACCAATCTTCTAGAAGCACATCGTACACAGTAATGATTTCAGGGATTTCACAATCTTGCATCTTGGGGTAGACTGATAAATTGTCCCCAGTTTCCTTCATTGTGCATCATCAGCCGATACTTAAAAGTGAAACCTAAAAAAACGGTCTGAAAAAATTCACCAACTGTCCCTTTTTGGTCTGCCAATTAAGCGCATGATAAGTTAAAATGAGTTTCATCATTTTCATTCTGATTATTAATTTTGAAGGGAAATTGATTACAGAATTTTCAAAGT